ACAATATAAAATGATATAGTCATTCTGGAGAAGTTTGACCATTTGATAAATATGAAACATGGGCATCTATTGCAGAGAAATGGAAAGTAAAACTTACACAAAAACCTGTCAGGAGTATTCACTGCAGCTTTACTCTTCATTACCAACCACTGGAAACAACCGAGATGTCCTTCAATGAGCAAATGGTTCAAGAGTATTCACGGCAGCTTTACTCTTCATTGCCAACCACTGGAAACAACCAAGATGTCCTTCAATGAGCAAACGGTTAAACAAACTGAGGTATCTCCACACCATGGAATGCTACTCAGCAATAAAAAAGAAAAACTATTGATATATGCAGCAACCTGGGTGCATCTCAAGGGGATTATGCTGGTTTCAAAAAGTCAATTCCAAAAGTATCATATGTAATATATGGATCTATTTGTATCCTATATAATAAAGAGCTAATATGCTAACGTATCATCTGTAATATACGGTTCTCTTCGTATCCTATATAATCAAGAGCTAATATGCTAATTAGACCAAACAGCAGAACGACCGTCTGGATGACCTTCTGGATGAAACCGGGGCTGTGAGGAGCTGCAGACAGATTGCCAAAAATTACCAGGTTGCCAAAAGTTAGGAACTGAGTGAAGGTGCGGTGGAGGCAGTGGGTGGGGAGGAAGGCAGGCCTGGTCATAAAAGGCCAGGAGGGTCCTTGTGGTGCTGGAGCTGTTCTGTATCTTGACTGTGGTGGTGGATACACAATCCTACACAGGTGATAAAATGTCATAGAACTAAACACACGCACACACACACACACACACACACACACCTGCAAAACTCCTGAGATCGGAATCACATGAGTGGGCTGCATCAGTGGTAATGTCCTCCTGTGGTATCCTACTATAGTTTTGTACCCAGTTAGGGGAAACTGGTTGGAGGGTACATGGGATGTCTCTGCATTATTTCTTACAACAGGGTGTGAATCTGCAATTATTTCAAAGTAAAATGTTTAATTTTTTGAAAAATTGAGGGGTCTGGAAGAAACTAACCAAAGAACATATATGCATATATTCATAACCATGGGCACAGACAATAATGTGGTGGCCTGGGATGGGATGGGGGCTGGATGGAGTGGAGAAAGGGGAAGAATGGGGAACAGTTGTAATACTGTCAATTTTTTTAAGTATATGATTTTTACTTTCCACAAGAAGATTTGAAATAGCTCTTTTTTTGTGTTCAAGACTAGACAATACAACCTTTTCAGTGGTAGCTAACAATTTCCCATTATTAACTTGTAACCATTCCAATAGTCCTATGAGCTTAGCAATACCTTTGCCCCCATTATGCAAATAGGGAAACTGAGGCACAGAGAAGGTAAATGACTTGTCATTTTCACATAACAG